ACTTGTAATGTGGGAAACTTAGTTTCATGTTTGTGACACCGAAAGAATATGTTTCAGTGCTGAGTGTACGTTTGTGTTGCAGATGGCCCACAGTTAGAAAACTGTTTCTGCAGCACACCTTTAGCCTTGTGTTGTAGTTTCTCCTTGAAGAGAGAGAGAGGAGTTGAGAGGAAAAGGACAAGCTGAGTAAATTGGACTCAGATCCAGGTTCCAGACCTTTCAATACCTCTCGTGATGGGTTGATGCTTGAATAAAATTGGATACTTTAGGTTTTTTTACAAACTACAGCTGCAGGAGGAGGAAGTGATTCATTCCTCCTTCCTTTGCTGATCACAGCCACAAGCTTTGGCAACAAAGGCCAGCCCACTTCCAGATAATGGTATAGAGTTTTCCAAGCAGAAGAGAAGTGCTCTGGGTGTCAGTATTTGCTTTCTTCCTTTCTTTTCCAGTAGCTTTATTAAAAATAAATTGCCTTTTAAAGCATACAAAACACAACAAAAAACACAGAGATCATTCCTCCACTTTGTGTTGCTTTCCTCATCTTCCTCTTTCCAGCCCAGTGCTTGGAGAGGGTAGATCTGGAGCAGCCCGGCAGGGGAAGGTAGAGCCTTGCTCTTGGCAGATGGTGCACTCATCGGGAATAAGAAACAAGAAATACTTTCCAGAGAGTGTCTGGCACTGTGGCAGCCTTGTCTGGAGTCGGTTAGGAAGAGCACAAGGTCTTTGGTTGGTGTCTCCTTGCAATGTCAACTTTAGCTTGTTGGAAACGTCCCAAATCATACTCAGAGATGGTTCTGTCCCCAGAAAACTCTTTGTTATGATATCACTATTGGCTTTCGTCTACGAATTACTGTACAGCTTAAATGTCAGTATTCAAAACTTGAAGTGCACAGCCAGAAGCACAAGCAAAATTTAGTTCGTGCTCCTGGCAAGACTTGCTTTCACATTTATCAAACTGACATTCAAACCAAAGAAGTAAAAATACAGCTAAAATATCAGGTGCCATTGAATGCCTGGAGAAGCCATGGCAGGAGTGTTGCTTTTCTTTCCCTCCTATAATCAAATTTATCTACACTTCTGAACAAACATCTGCATGAAGTATTTAGTGGTTCTTTCTTTTTTCCCCTTGGATCTGGTTTTGCATCTGAAACAAGCTGATAGCTCAGCCAGCTTGGACATGATGTTCGCGGCTTGTGAAAACCCTTTCATGCTCGTGGTGTCTGGGATGTCCAAATGCAGGCTCTAAAGCCTTGGTACACCCCAGGTGTGTAAGTGTGGCCAAACAGGAAAGATTCCAACTTCTACCCTGGCCATCGTGTCCAGTAAAACCATTTTTCAGCTTCAGTCTTTGTTGACTTTTAAGGTGGGGCAGTAACTCAGTTCCTTTGAATAGTAGGACTTGCTCAGGGCAGATATGCCAAAGTGCTCTTCCTTTTCCGAGTTCTCATCTTGTAGCCCAACAGAATGAAAAAACTGCCCATGCTTTTGCCATCTGCCATATTAAAGCGGTTCTTAGAGCAACTATTGATATCTTAGTTGAAAATACTGTTTTTCTGAAGCTTTTTTCCCCTCTGAATGAGATCTTCTACCTTTCTTTCTATGGTTTCTAACCTCTTCTACCTGATGTTTTTAAATGCCCAATATTGACTTCATCTTCTGTGTCATGGTGTTGGGATCTGCTCTGTTGACCCTTTCTGTTCCAACTTGTATTGTTGCTGTTCTACCTGGCACTTGTAAACCTCAGTATGCCTCAGGTGGACCAGTGTTTCCAGATGTAATTCTGCAGGAGAGGTCCATCCTCTCCCAGCTGCTTGAAGGGATTCCTTGATCCTAAGTCATGCTTTTTACCCCTGTGTTAATTTGAGATTTCAAAAAAGGAGTATATCTGATATCCTTTGTTAGACTGTCGTGAACCCACTTGGTAAGGAAAGGTCTTTGAGAAGTCAGAGGATATAGACCATTACCTACATGTCTTCTCCTATCTGCTTCCTGAAGATGGAGCCCTATTTATAGACAAATTTCACTAGTGACCTCTCGTGGGAGAAGGGAAGAGGAAGAAATGATACAACAGAACAACATCTTCTATTCAGATGGGGAGAAAACTAACAAAACCCCCCAAGTAACTAGAAGGTGGAAGAGGGGCAGTGTTTCAAGTTGTGGGGCTTTTCCTTATCCAGACTTAGTTATTTTGGGTTTGGGTCATTGCCACAAACCAAAGGAGCAAGAAAGGGGCTTTTTAATTTTTTTAGGCGTATTTTGGGCTTTGAGAAGGAAAATTTTGGTCATCTTCAAGGTACAAAAAGGAATGGGAAAGGGGAGGCAAATGTGGCCCACATGGCTTATGGCAGAAATTGCTGCTAGCCCGCTTCAAAAGAAGCATTTTGTGGAAAGTAACAATCCTAAAAAAGGAAAGATCATTTGAATAAATACCCTAATGCCATATTTTGTTCTCAGTTGGTGCCTGTGTTGTCAGAAGTGGGAGCCATGGTTTATGTCTGTAAGGATGGCAAAATGTACTCTGTGCACCTCCTTCTTTGTCTTTTGCTGCTGAAAATATCTTCTTTCACATTGAAATATCCCATACTTGGCTGCTGCCAAAAGTGAAATTTTAATTTTGATGAAAAGATTAAGGTGCTTTAAGCTTGAGAAGAGTAAAAATAAACTGTTCCTCTCTTCTAAATCTGATGCTATAAAATGAGGTGTGTGTGGCTTTGAATGGCTGTAGAGCTAAAACAACTAGATTACAAAAACTGAAGATTAGCTGTGTTTGTAGAGCAGTGGGTATCTTTATCCTGGATGGACTTAATTTGGATTTCTCTACTGTTGTTCAGAGCTCAGGGTGAACTGTAGTAGGAATGTATTGCATGTGACACTTCACCTCAAACTGGCCACCTCACCAAGCTGGAACCCGAAATAAGAATCACCTTTGCAGAATGAGGCAAATAAGAAGGAAGAACCATCATGGAAAAATGCAGATTTGTTACAAATCTTCTGCTTAGATTTTTGTCAGCTTTAGCTAAGTAATTACATGGAAAGTTCCTCTGGTTCAATGTGTCATTTTGAACTGGAAAGGAGAGAGGTAGGATAGACTAAAATGCCAGATCTAGTAGGTTCGGCAACACACTGGATGGCTGATAGACTTCAGGCTGTGGAGAAAGAGTTTGCAGGAGAGTAACAACTTTTAGATCTTCTGACAGATATTCTTGGTTTGATGAACAAACTACCATGTCCTTTTAGCTGTCATGACTCCGGGTTAGGTAGAGTGGGGCATTTCAACAGTGAGCAACTTCCAGCAGGAAGGTGTGGCATCTGTTTAACCATCAGCCTTAGTTTTGAGCTCTGGTTCTGGGCTTGAGATGCTGCCAGTTGTGCTGATGCTTTCATTGGAAGAGAAGAAACATGGTCTCATAAAATCCAGTAGATAGTGGAGATGGCTTCTGTTAAATTGGATAGCCTGGTGTTACCTGATACGAGGTTATGAATAGACCATCCAGCTTTCCATGCTATGCAATAGAAGCAATGAAACATTTGGATATCAGTGCACATAGGCAGTAAGGAAACTGTAAGTACTTTTCTGTCCATTGGCACTAGTGAAAGCAGAGCCTGTAGCAGTTCTGCTCCCCTGACTCGGTGATGCTGCCTAGAAACCTGGAGAAGATGAGGCAGCCAAAGTGATGTCAGCCAGGGTCTAGGATTGCCCTGACTCCTGTGGGTCAGAATGTGACAAAATTATTCACAGGGACACCTGGGTTACTACTAACAGGAGTGCAAATGTGTTGGCAAAAGACATGGAGTTGTTAGGCAACTCTGTGTGCCTTCTGCGCAGTTGTGGAGTATTTAATCTTGTCCTCCTAGTTTTTGCCTGTCTCTGTTACCATTTGTATTTGTTGCCTGTTGCAAAGTGATGCCATGTAAAACCAGGAAAATGAGATATTCCCCTACAGAGTTTATGCTCTGCTGCACAGGAGAAGTGAGGCATGAATTAAAATGTGCTCTGTGGGCAGTGGTCAGCGTGTATGGCAAAGATCTCATTGGTGCGCTGGGGGCTTGTATTTTTGTGTTTTCACCGTGTTGCTGCTGGTGATGCTCTGCTGTTGTCAGCCAAGAAGGTTAGGACTTGGGTTTGTAAATACACTTATTTCAGGAAGCAACCATATAAAGGCAGCCTTGGGAGAGGAGAAATTGAAGGGTTGCTTTTGTGCTCTCAAGATTTCTCACTTTTAAGTCACCCTTCTGAACTCGGATGCAGTCGATGTTGTACCGCAGTTGGCTGGTCGTTTTTCCAGCTCACATGTGCAGTGCTGCTGCCTTGCTGTGCACGGAGAGCAGCACAGAGGTTCCTGTGCTGCATGGCTGGCTGGATGAGCAGCCCCCAGTGAATCAGTGCAGGCACACACTGGAACAACAGGGTGTCTGGAACCATGGCCTGCTGCTGCTTTGTAGATGGGGCTGTCAGCCCTGCCAGTTGTTCTAAATCCAACTAGAATTGAACATACATGTTTGTGTACAGTTTTGTTAGATGTCTGGCATAACATTCCAGGCTTGCAGCTGCACGGAATTTGGTAGCTAAGTTTTCCTTACATAATGTATTCATATAAACTGTGTCAAATGTACTTTAAGGCTGATAAAAGTTAAAAGTTTAGGGGTGCTTTTATTTGAATATAGATAATTTTATTATGCCTGCAGATCTGGGTTACAAGCAGATTGATCTTTGTTTCATCAGGTGAAGCTTATGTGGGGGAACATGAAAAACAGAGCATCAAAATCCTTTGAACAATTAAAACTGAAGAATTGCTTTTCTGCCCACTAGTGCTTTGAATGACAGTATTATAGTGACACAAGATATCAAGTTTTTACATTAGATATGACATGAACCTTATCCGTGTAACATAACAACAACCAGAAACTTCTCCACCTGAGTATTTAAGACTTCACAGTCAAGTGCCTTGCAGACCCTTTATGTGCATGATACATTTTGCTATGTTTATTATGTTTTCCAGTGTATTCGAAAAGGATCCCAGTGGAGTTGATTCCACTGCGAGTTCTAATCACCGGACCAGAAATCTTCTGGAGTTCTCAGCTGGCCAGGAGTCCAGTGCAGCTCAGAAAATACCTGAGGGCATCATTCCCGAGAAGAGTAACAGGTGAGATGAAAACCTTTAACATAGTTTGAGTGGCAGAGGGCAATGGTGCTTTTAGCTCTCACTGCCTTACTGACCTTTTTGGCCAGTGCTATTGCTGATTTTATAGAGCAGCAGAGCTTACAAACACAGTGTTTTGAAAGCTGGTCTTTTATTATTTAACAAAGTTTACCAGGTTGTTTTTGAAATAAATATGGTATTTTATCTCCAAGATTACTCAATACATAATGCTTCAGAAGTGTACACGTGGCTGTGCTGCATGGTGTTAGGAAGAGAGCACATAAGCAAGTGTATGTCACAGAGACTTTCAGAACCTTTTCCAGTCCTTCATCTGTCTGCTTTTTTCCTCTAATCTATATTTTAGCTTGCATAGTTCTGATATTTGTCATATTATCTGTATCTGCATACTTTTCAAGCTGGAGTATTTATTTTCTTAGTTGCTCAAGAGAAGACTGGGGAAGTTCACAATTAAGAACACACTCTGAACTTAACACTGTACATTTTTATAAAACTCTGAGTCCATCCTTGTGTTTTTGCATTATTTAATTAAATACTGGCTTTCAGGCTTCCTAAATCTCTAGCATGCAGTTCATAAGTGAACATATAATTGCCTCCAGATTGAAGTCTGGCTAATACAGCTCATGTTTTCCCCTTACAAGATTTATCCTATTAGACTGTCCCTTTCCAGTAGAGTGTTTTGGCTGGTTGAACAAAGCCAGGCACAGATGTGCAGAAAGCCCTAATGTATTTTGCCATGCAGAAAGAAGGCAATAAATCAAGAGCATTTTAAGGCTGTAGCCATGGTGAGGGCTTTGTGTCCTATGTGGTACATTTCAGACCATGACTTAGGTGATGTAAGAGTAGACTAGTTCTCTTAGGAGGATATGCATGTGCCTGTATCTCCTCCTTTTCTTTCACTGTTTCACCCTGATTTTGGCAAGCTGTGAGCTCTTTGCTGCATATTCTCCTTTATCAGTCCTACGTGCAGTAGACAGGAGAAGCAAACATGAAGATGGAGAGAAAGCTGGGAAAAGGAAAGGAATGTAAATGAGGCTTTCATGAGTTCTTATACCTGATTTTTCAGAAAGAAATTGAAGTTTAGGAGCTACAAGTCTATCAAAACCTAGAGGACTAAAGCTGTTACATTGATAGCTTATCAAGGGAGAAACTTCTAATAGGTATTGTGATAAGTAGTTAACCCCTCAAGAGGTGCTGAGAGTGTTATGGATTTTTGTACTGAGAAATAGATGCTCCTTTTCACTTTTTGTCAAAACCAAGCTAGATTCTGGAGACACTTGGAGATGTAAATCCTCTCCATTCAGTTGTCATATAGTTCGTGGCTGCTCCATTGTCATATAGCTCATGGTCTTTACATCTGCATGGTTTTAGTTGATGATTAATTTAGTATTTCTGTAGCACAGCTCTGGAATGAAGAAGAAAGTTGCCTCTGCAGAGACCACATAGTTTACATACTATGAGGCATATTTTACAGGCTACATTTTCTTTCAATATCTGGCCTTTATGGGAAGAGATCCAACATCTGCTAATGCTCAACTGTCTTCCCTGTGTTGAGTGCTGTCAGACCCCATTGAGGAATTGACTGAGAACATTGGATGTTTGATAGGAATTGTTATTCACCTGTTTCAAAGGTCCCAAGGGAGCAGCTATAACATTTGTGGGTCTGGTGATGTTAGTACTCATTCTCTGGATTTGGTCAAAGGTCCATAAAAAAGTATTTTAAGGGATTTCTTGATATCGTTTTCTTTATTTTTCCCAGGTATGATCGTTCTGTGTCTGATAATAAAGCACTAATGATAGTCTCAGAAGAGCCACTTTTATATATTTCACCACCACCACCCCCCTGTCGGCCTCTGATCAACCGGACAGAGTCGCTGAGGTGAGCAAACAACCTTTTCTGGGTGTTTAAGGTTTACTAGGAGTTGAGATATAAATTCTGTGTTGGCTGAGTGTTACTGGACATACAGCTGTGAGTGATGTTATTGTACATTCATAGAGTTCATCCAGTGCGTGACCGGTGTCTGTCTAAATGTCTGCACTGTACAATGTCTGCTGCCATAAGGACAGATCAACTTGGATCTTTGTAATCTTTTGATGGTTTTAGTCATGATTTTCACTCTGTTTTCACACTGGTCATTTGCAATAACTGAATAACAATTTTCTGACTGGAGATTTTTCGTGGCTCAAAAGAGAAATTGTTTCATATGTAGGAATGTTCATGATATGGAAATCAAGTCCAGCTAAAAGCCTTTTCCATCTGAATTACATAAGAGATGGTCTTCTATTTTTAATCTTCTGATACAAGCAAACTGAACTTGAGCAGATGTGCTTCATTCACTGTTAGAAAATACCTACCTCCACTTTTTCCATAGATGTGTCACTAACCTTATCTCCATGTTCTTTGTCCCTTCTTTCTCTCAGATTTATTTGCCATAGTTTAGCCTTCTTAACCAATAATTTTTCTTGATCAACTTTTGATTTTGAATTTCCATGGTCCTTCCAGTAACATCAAAATTACTGTTCATTGGGCAAAAGGAACTACTGTATCTGCTTTATATTGAAACATCCAAGAGTACAATACTTTATAGATATTCCCTTACAAATTCCCTCATAAATTTCACCTTACAATTTTATTTTATTACTCCTTTATTACAAATAAATGATCATAAGATAAAAAAACAGTAATCTGCAGTGTGTCTTTATAGCGGCTAAACTGTTTTATAAAACTAAAAATCTCTGCCATTGTTCTTTGAAACATCTGCTGATGCTGTGGATTTTTCTAGGCTGAATCATGAACTTCGAGGATGGGTTCATAGACATGAAGTGGAACGAACAAGATCTAGAAGGTTATCAAATAACCAGCAGCAGAAAGCACGGGTTATGCAGGTATACACGTTTATACTCATGACTCAATAGCATGACAAGATAATTTCAGTCAGTGTGAAATATTCTCTCTTACTTGTTTGCACTTGTTATTATAGACAAAAGTAGCGATGGTGCCTGTAATTAGGGTACCCAACACTTCCCATTTTAAATTGCTGGGTTTGGTTGATTATTATGTTGTCAAAGTTGTTCTTCCATTCCTGCTCTTGGATTCAGGCTAGAAGTTCTGAATTTTTTTAGCAGTCATCAAAATAGGTTCAGCATTTTCTAAAATTAAATCAGTAGTTAGCCTTTTTGTGGCTTCTCTGCAAAGATAAGCAGTTGGTTGCAACTGCACATTCATCTGCCTCACTGTTAACGGGCACAGCTAATTGATTTTGTTGAAATATTTCTATTTCATTTTTCAGATTTTTGCTGGAGGGATTACTTTTTGATAAGACTACAGAATTATGAGACTTGTGCTCATATCTCTCTTTTTTTGAAATCCCTTTTATATACATAAATCCTTTCATCTACATGGCATACTGATACCAAGGCTGAAATGAAGACAATGAATTTTCAGTCTTTTATTTGATTAGAGGTAGTAGCAGCTTGAAAAAGAATTGAACTTAACAATGTGGGAAATACTTCACTTTTCTAGGGAAAAGGTATTGTGCATTAAACTTCAGATTCTTTTCACCGATGTCCAAAGGAGATTGGCAGAACAGTTAAGGAGAGAAAATTTGTGTGCTTTTAGTGTTTCAAACACCAGAAGTGTGTTGTGAATGGAATATTTTAGCAGAGGTGCAAAGTGGACATGACCTCAGAAGAATTCTGCACATCTGATGTCAGTGGTAGTGAATTTTTCAGTTGGATCACACAGTTTGTGCAACTGTTGGGTTTGGTGCCAGGCTCTCTTCTTTGTCTCTGAATGTGTGACTTCAAATTTGGCTGTATTAAAAGTTTTTGCTGTTTTTGTTCCAGCTTGATTGCTGGCCATTTCAGTTATTCATGTTTCACCAGTGGAAAAACACACATTTCTGATGCAGGGCACTGATTAACCTCTGCACCCCATTGTACTCTCTGTTACAGATGTGCAACGTATTTTATGTAGTGGCAAACCAAGAAAATGGTTATTGTTTGCACTTTGTGTCATCTTTTCATATTCCCCCTTTTTCAGAGCTCCCTGAGTGAGAAGGCAGATTCCCAGCTGATGGCCATGCCTTACACAGACACCAGTCTCAGGTAAGGCAAAACAGCTCCTTTGTTACTGCTTTCTACTTAATAACCCAACTTTTCACCAATAGTTGGTAAAAAAGGCTGGTTTTCACTTTGTCAGAATTCTTAAGCCAAATGCAGCTACTTTTCTTGACCTAATTTCTGGGCCTTAGCAAATAATTGCTTCTACTGATTTAAACTATACTTAAAGGGACCCCCTTATCACAGCTCCACTCTTCTGGGGTCTTTTTACCAATAAGTCTTATGAAAATCTTTACTTCACTCTGCAGAATCCCTTTCTAATTAGATTTGAATATTTAGGGAAAAAAAAGGGGGAATTGACTTGAGACTATCTGTGAGACCATCATTAGTTTACAAGAAAGTTTCAAAGGGCCATGAATCTGGTAAGAGAAAGGATTCTTTCACTACCTTCAAGAGTAGAGCCAGTATAGCTAGGACCAAATTATTATGATGAAGTTAAAGTACCATTATGCCTTATTTGCATGGTTTGTCTCCATCTCCTGATTTTTCCATGCTGATTATTGGAGCACACTAATCCAGAGATTCCTGATGTCCCCTGCTCCTTCCTCCACGTAACTATCCTGTCCCTCTTCCCTGGTGACAGGAAGTACTGGAGAGTAAAACTTGAGGAAACAAAATTTCTCTGAATTCTGTGCGAGACAGTTTAAGAGGTTCTCTGCTTTGAAGTGCCAAAGAGGAGTGTAAGAGCAGAATAAAGGGGACTTTTTGTTGAGAACACCACCTGAAATGTTGCTGTTGAAAGACAATTGTGGGCCTTTGGTTTGCATTGCTGCTTTGACAGCAGGATCAGCCAGAGGGAAAACAGCAAAGCTGCAGGCCAATGTTATGGAAACCAGGCCGTCAAATTTTGATATGTCTTGACTTACAAGAAAAAAAAACCTATTTGAGTTCTACAGGTAGATGAAGAATATCTGTTTTAATTGAACACCGATGAACAAGCCTCATGGCATAAAGCAGTTTAATATACATGCTTGCATTACTCTTGAAAAAAATTATCTGGATTACTGGAAACAGTGTGCAACGTCATGTAGCTCTGCGTGGAATAATCTGTTGTGCTCAGAAGGAAGTGAGATTTTTTTTTTCAGATTAATGATGTTTATATGAACAGGACCAGTGAGTCATGGCAGCTGCATGCTATGACTGTCCTGGAGCTGCTAAGAACATAGAACAGATCTCCAGTTCCTCCCAGAGCCATCAGCTATTAGGTGCTCCATGAAGTCATAGAATCACAGAGTAGTTGTAAAGAACCTCTGAAGATCTCTAGTCCAATCTCCAACTCAGAGTAGGTTTAACTTCAGGTTCACTGTATGTCTCTCTTAGAAGATGTGGTCTCCATCTCTGTTGTAATCTCCATCAGGAGTATTGCAGTTAGAGCCCCCTCAGCCTCCTCTTCTCTGAGCTGAACAAGCCCTATTCCTTCTGTCTTCTGTTTCTCCTTGTGCATCCTGTGCTCCAGTCCCTGTCCATGATGCAACCCCCTATGCAGTTTCCCTCCAGATCCCTGCTGGCTCGCATTCAGCTTTCCTGTGAGCACCACAGCTCCTTTTTGCAGCACTTGTGCCTCATCAGTTGGGAATAAACTGCTGTTTATTTAGTTTGGTCGTTGATATTACCCTTGTGCAGTATCCTGTCAACGTGTTTAATTTTTAATACCAGTGCTGTGACTGGAAATTGAGTGACCTCTGTCTTCTAGAACACCCTGCTTGGTGGCCTGAATCCATGGACAGGAGGACATTAGCAGTATCTAGATTTATCTTTGTAGCACTGATTATCATGTTGGTCCTGGATTCCAAAAGAAATTTTATGAATTGAAAAAATTGCAGGGAAGTCAAAGCAGGGGATGAAGACAGAAACTAAGATGATTTCAAAGGAAATCATCAAAACTCCTCATCTGTTTATCAAGCTTCCTTCAGAGGTGGTTTTGTTGAGGGCTTCTGCAAGTGTGTATTTTAAGACTTTCAATATTAAACTCTCTAGTTATTTTCTTGTTTCTAAGTTTTTCACTATCGAAATTATGGTTGTTGATGCATAAAGCCCTGTGCCCACAGTCTCATTCCTTCTCAAAACAAACCTATGTGCAACAGTGCCCTTCAAACTTTTAAAACAAGAAAGACTCATTTATCTCCCAGGCTCAGCACCACTGTTTTGGATGTACATTTAATATGATGTTTCCTTGTAAAATGTGAAGGTGTTACTGAAACAACTGATATTTTTGCACCTGTTTTTGGCTCTGAAGTTCCTCCCTTCCTTTCATGGAGAGGTCCATTGCAATTAGCCATGGGTGTTCAAAGGTAGATGCAATGTAATGCCTGTAATCCCCCAGTATCACTTGGAATCTGGGACTAGTGTTAGATTTGTTCCATGACCAGGAGAGCTTTGTAAAAGCCCAGTGGTTTCCAAGTGCTTTGGAACAGTTTTCTCCCATGCCTGGATTTAGAGTTATAAAAGGCCAGGTTTTGGGTCTAGCTGTATCTTCTGCAGTGTGGGCGAGCAAACGGATCTGTGGGGCCCGTTTCAGCTTTCAGGATGTGTTGTGCTGAGCAACACGTGGGCGTGATGCCTTTTATCACAGTACAACTTCAATGGTGAATCTCAGGGGTGGCTTGGTGGGCCTACGTGTTTTCATGAATGAGTAATCAAGCTCAAATTAGCTCCAGTCTTTGTTTCCTGTGTGTGAAGGATGTGATCTGATTCCTTGCTTGCATAGTTCTGCAGAAGAGGATATGTAGTGTAGAGCTGCCTGCTCTTGATCCCCCAGGACTTACACCCCCAATCCTGTTAAAGGGCAACTGGCGTGGCAGCTGCAGTCCTTCAGTTGCAACAGGACTATGTTAACAGTAGAAGAGAAGATAATGACAGTCTGCTATTACTGCTGCTTGAGAAAATCACTTGATGATAGATTTGTGCCGTGTTTTGGGTGCATGGTCATATTTTAGAAACACATCAAAATAGTCTAAATTAGCCACCATAGTTTAAAACCTGGGTCGGCAGAAGACAGCTTGGGAGGGGAAGGATAGTCTGATCAGTGCCCTTGCCACAAACACTGCAAACACACAGTGTGCTATTAAGATAAAATGACTGGTTGAATGTCCAGATAATGGTTTGTGTAAGTATAGCCTTCCAATTTGTTTAAATATGTTATTTTGGAATGGGATTGGGGAGATATACACGATAGCAGTATGTGCCAGGAATTTCTCACCTTTCCAAGATAAACAGTGGATAAGTACAGTGAATGTAGGACTTGCCAGTATTTTTGCTTAGAATGGTTTAGAGCATCTTTTCCTTGTGTCTGATATATGTAAGATGAGAACTGTGGATAAGATAAGCCAGAATTATGTGAATATCTTATTTTTGCTCCACTGTCTGAATTGAAAATCAAGAGCTAATCTTTGAGTTGACCAAGGACACGGGAAAAAAAATAAAAGGTGGGTGAGAGAAAAAGTGGAGTTGTCATTTGACAGTAAATTAAAACCTCTGTTTATGCTTAACTTTGCACTTCTTTCAATTTCAGTGGTTTGGATTCTTATCAGTAAAAGAAAATTATTAAATGTTTTGATATTTCAGAAGGACATTACATTCTAAAATTTATTTTCAGAAGTCATCACAATTTTTCAGACACTTCAGGTTGAAACTTTTTGTTTTCTGTTGAGCTAGAAGATGGGTTTTTGCCAGCCTCAGAACCATGAATAAAAACAAACCTGGAAAACCTTCCTAAAGTAAGACCTTTAAAGCACCTTGAACTTTCAGAAAGTACCCAGTAGTTTCACTGTCTTCACCTGTGTTTAATGTTCCTCATGCTTCTCTCAATGGACGAAGAGCTGCTGTTCCTTTGAAAAGCAGGTCTTTTAAAGTCATTGTCTCACTGAAGCTAACTTTCTTGTCTAAAATAATTACCTTTCCCCCTTCTTTATTTCAGCAGGAACTCAGGGAATGAGCTGCAAGTGTATTATGCCTCTCCAAGGAGCTATCAAGACTTCTTTGAAGCGATTCGCCGAAGGGAAGATACTTTCTACGTGGTGTCATTCCGCAGAGTAAGTGTAGTAGTTGTGTAACACTGGCCTCTTATTTGTGTCCACAAAATGTGACTTGGTCAAGGTTGAAGCTGAAATTGTTTCTTCTGAAGTGATGCTTCTGTATACCCTGTACACGGCCAGATCATGGTCACTGCAAAATATGCCCATCACAGTTGGAAATGCAAAGAGCTTTGCAGAAAACATCATAGTGCTGGGGCAAGACAGCACAACATGGCATGAACCCTCTGGTTAAACACACATTATAGCTATTTAATAGGTGTATAAGCCTTTTGTGCTTCTGGGTATAGGAATAAATGTACCCTGTGCACAAATTATTTCTGTTAGCTTAACATAGTATTGTTTCTATCTTCCCCTAGAACTTTTGCATTTGCAGTTTTATGTGGCACGTCTTGCAGCTGTACAGGACTGTGTGCAGCAGCACAATTTTTCTGCTGTTTTGTGATTTGTAAGTTGAGACAGATGAGCAGTTCTGCTGTCTGTGCTTCGATACAGCACAGGCTTGTGCTGCAGCTTTGTCAGGCACGTCCTCACATCTGCAGTGCAGTTAGTGACAATAAAAGCTGTTATAAAATGTAATTCCAGGTGTTTGATGGCACTTTCTGCACTGCAGGCCCCACTGGTGTTGAAGCCAGGACAGCTGCAGTAGTGAGAAGCTGCTTGGGATGTGGTGATGGAAATGATCAAGGCAAACAGTGGTTGAAACACCAACCTGGGTTTGGAGGAGTTTATTCCCTCCTTTTGGCAAGGGTCTTGATGAGCCATTAGATAATGTCTATAATGCACATTTGTCCCTGGACTGAACCTGGGGTCTTGGCTTTCTGAGCCTCCTGCCCTGCCATTTTGCAGCTGGGGTGCTGGATGAGCACTGTTATATGCATGTTCACACCCAGCCATGGTCCCCCGGGGCCCTGCAAATCTCCATTTCCTTGTCTTAGGAGTGTTCTGAGAGGGGTCCCAAGGTAGTGGGGGACCAGCAGTGGCCACGACAACAGCTCATCCAGCTATAACCTGTTCTGTGTAAGAGCACACAGATAAGCCTAACTAGTTTTAGCAATTTCTGTGTTGTCATACCTTTACCAATCTGTAGATGCCGTGGGTATATAGGTCATACAGCCCCGTTCCACCTGGTACATGGTAACTTTTTTAATTTGTGAGATGCATGTCTTTAGAAAAGGTTCAGGCAAAATAAAAGTAGCGGTGCTCTTATTAGGATTAGGGCTTTATGCTGAGTAGAAATGTGAGGTTAGTTTCCAGTCTTGGGATTACTGGGTTGTGTCACAAGGCTGGAATTTTGTTATTAAATGCTTGGCATGTTCTGCTGTTCTTTCAGCTAGCAACACAAATATAGCCAGCACCAGGCTCCACATATCCTGAGGATGAGGAGAAGGGAGTAGAGAATAGAAGTTTTTCTGGAAACTCAGAACAAAAAGCTGAATAGTGTTTGTCTAGGTCTGCACTTTGGGGCCATTGCTCCAGTCCACCTGAATGCATGTGCTTGTACATAGGTCCTGTTTATGCTGTCGGGTTAATGACCTGGAAGTTGTCAGCTCTCATTTCAACTTGCAGAGCTGTCCTTGAAAACAGTGTGTCTTGTGCCACATAATCTCTACAGCTTGGCTCTGCTCTATCTCAGGGAGAGATGCAGAGACTTTTTAAACCCATCTATGAAGTTTATTTGGTAGCAAAGCTGTTGGTATTTCTGTTTTATGAATGAAATGTCCTCAAATCGGAGGCAGTTTTATGCATTACCTCATTTATTATCTTAACAGGGCAAACCTGATCTGGTGGTGAGCTCTGCCCTGAGGCACTTTTAAATGACTTGCTTGGATTCTTTTGTGAGTGCAGAAGAAAGGACTCCTGCACAGCCCGAGGGGTGCCATCAGCAGGGCCCCAGCAAGGGAGGTGCCCTTTCACCTCCTCCTGAGGACTGCTGACTTCATTTTCTTTGGACCACAATTCCCTTTTCACTGATGATTAGGAGCTGAGTGGGGACTGATTTCCTCCTCAGTTCACTTGTGTTGCTTTCTCTTGTCCAACTTAGGAACCAAGGCCTGGAGATGATAGGTTTTGTTCCTTCTCTGGCTGTTTGCCATGCAGACACTCCCAAACAGTTAATAAGCAGCCAAATAACGTAACAAAAGAACAAGAATCATCCAGTTAAAAGTTGCAGGGAGTGGATGGTTCTGGTATTGGTGATTGTCCTGCTCTGAGTGGGAGGTGGGACTGTGGATGTCCAGAGATCCTTTCCACCTGATGTCACTGGATCCTCTTTCCATGTGTTTTCTGCTCTGTGTATAGCACCATATAACCTATCATTTCTCCTGGATGCACGTGCTAAATTGCAACAGATTTTTTTTATGTGTTCTCACTTACACTACAGGATCTGTGCTCTGAGTTCCTTGGATTTTCTAGAAAATGGCATTTGCTAGGGCTACCCGAGCCTCTCATATGGCAGGACTCAGGGCTTCTGAAGGTGCAAGGTTGGAGAGCAAAGCTCTTATGGACTGTATCTTCTTCTGGTAGTGCTTGGTACCTGTAAGAGTGAGTTTTCCCATGATCTCATAAATTTTATTTTCTTTCCTTGCCTTGAAAGGCTTGTAGGTATGCATATTTACAGTTGAAGTTTGTGTGGGGTTTCTTTTTCTTTTTTAAGGAGGAGAGAGGAAAATAAAGTAGTATTTGGATCAGCTGAATCCATACAAGAAGCAGGGCTTTCACTTTGGGAATCTAGAGAATTTAATTTTCTGCTATTGCCAGGGGAATCTCTAATGTAATTTTTAAACAAGAAGAAATATGCCATTAACAGTGACTGAAGAATTCTTGAACTGAAGCAGTGTTGTCTCCTAGCTCTGCCAGGCATCAGCAGCCAACATCCCTCCTAGGCAGGGCTCTTCACCATTTCTTTCTTCAGATAGTAGCTTGGTCATTTTAATTTATTTCTTGCTACTTAACTTTTAGGAAGCCATGGTTTTCAGGAGTCATTTAGCTCTCCCCAAGTGCTCCAGCACCCCAAAGTGATGTCTTTGCACTGTACCTTTAAGTTGCACTGGTTTGGGTTGTCTTTGAGAGCACGTCCAGAACCGGGAGGTCTGTGCAGTAGGTGCTGAGAACAAGTTACCTGGTTCTGTGCAAAGAGTGTGGCAGTTTGAGCTCTGCTGGAGCACATTGGAGTCTCCAGTGGGCGTTGAACCTTCCTTTTATTTCTCCCAAGTCTCAGAGGCAGAATGGAGAGCCTGTCACTCCGCCAACACCTTTGATTTCTGCCCTGTAACGTCTCTGATACCAAGTCTGCTTGATCTGTTAGAAACAAACCCCCAATGGAGCATGGATACAAAACCCAAGTTAGTTGATCTGAGGTGCTCTGTCTGCAGGGAATAGACACCTGGCTGCTGCTGCAGCTCTCTGTAAGCCTGGCACCCACACAGCTCCCTCCCACAGCTCACATCTATTCTGCCACAGAGTATTCAGGCCTTGAGATTGTTCCTAGAATTACCTGAATAGCTCGCTTAATTTGAAAAGTAATTAAGTAAATCATTGGAGAAAACAAATCCCTTCCAATTTAGTTTGACCTGTAGTGCTGCTTGGGATCATTCCATTCTTGTGTGGTTGGGATCAGAGTTCCCACAACTTGGAGTGATTAACCAGTTGATTTCCCCATCCTGGAAGGTTCAGTCAGTGACCCTTTGATGACATGGCTGCAGGGCTTATTTAGGGACAGTGACATTTTTTAGGGTAAGAATGTAATTACTGTTCTTAAGGAAAGCATGGTTTAAAGTTTGATTCACTTGGGAAATTCAGAGGACTACTGGCATTTCCTCTTGCTACTTTATCTATTTCAGAGCACAAATGTCTCCTGATATCAAAGTTTGCCACTTGCATTTAATGCCGTGCATATACAGTATCTTACAGTACATTGCAGTAAAAAGTAGATATTAAAAGGTACTTCTGGTTATTATTTGTTTGAGTGAGAGTGATGAGACCCTATGGAAATCAATGGCAAAGCCTTTACCAACTCCAGTAGGACCAGAATTTCACTTGGTAAATATCTGCTTCAAGTGCCACAAACCATAGAGCTTCAGGGAAACCTCTTATTATGAATGTGAATTTCTGGTCCTGCAAGCCAACATCTGCAATGAGCATTTAAGGGTTTCTCAAGTTCTGCAAACAATTTTTCACTGAAGTGATTAAGCCAAATTTAAATCAGAACTTTTGTTCTATCTCTGTGTGCTGGGAATAAAAATGTCTAGATTGTGTTGTGCTTCTGTTGGTAATAAGCCTGTGCTGTGCTAATTGTATTTGGGATGATGTAATTGTATTTGGAATGATATATTACTTTCAGGAAGCAAAAGATTATAAAGCCTGGCTTTGACATGCTTATGTAGCAGTAGGTTGCTGTGCTGCATGCACTTCTGGCAATAATAATTTGAATGTATTCAGAGAGCATGAGACAGGTTTCAATTCGCTGCACTCCTGATGCCATCTACATCCTGCAGGCAAAACTGCTGGATAAGAAGTTGGCTTAAGATGACATTTTATAGCCAGAAATTCAGTTCTGACATATACTTTTCTCCTACTTTGTTGCACTTGACAATGGGTGGTTTTTACTGAACATGAAGTTTTCTGCTGTTGACTTTGTTTGCGGATTTCTGTGGACTGGGGTGTGTAATTTGGTCTTTCATTCAGATAAAATGCCCTGATTAGACTCACACAGTCCTGCTGCTCCTAAAGATATAGCAGCTATTGTATATGTTTTCAACTGCTGCAAGTTAACATGCAGATTTTTGAAATATTTTACAAACTCCCCTTTCTCCTGGGGAGCCTGACCTTAGCTATTGAGAGGAAAAAAAGTTACTTTATCCCAGGATCCTAGGATTTTAAGATCTTGTCCTATGTTGTATACAGATGCTGAGAATAATATGTGTTGAAAGAACGGAGGCTCAGGGCATGGTATCCATGATAAAATTGCCTGTCCTTTTCAAAGCAGAGGTCACCCTTTA